ATAAATCCTTAATTCACCGACGTACATGATAAAAACAGCTGCTTCGTCTATAGTTGTCAATATTTTGAGATATGAGTCTCAAGATTCCCAGATCTCCATAATCACTCCCTGTTTACTAGTAATCAACCTAACAACCTCCACCTAACTTTAAAATAACCAAGAAACTATAAAGTTCTCAAAATGTCTTTACTTCAAAGGCGTAAGACTTAAACCGGTCCACACAAAGATAGCACAACAAGACACAGACACAGGGAGACAGAGAAGGCCATTAGTGTGTGTGATGGAGAGAGATAAAGTGTGGCCATGTTCCTGCCCAAACAGCTAGACGTGGATTAGAGAAAAGTAGAGCTGCACAGGAGGGATTTCAGGGCTTTGAGTGTGTCACCCTGCAAAGACGGATCTGTGAGGAGGCAACATGAAACCAATACAGTTCTGTTTATACATATATCAAAGAAGTGAGATTGGTGATGTATGATGCAACATTTTGCACGGGAAGCTACAGTGGTTGGTCAAATTTGTGAGAAAATTGCAGTGATTGGATGAAATTGTAAAGTTGCACAGAATTCACAGAATTTGTCGAATTTGTGTTAATTGCTGCAATCGCAACTTCCTGGAGGGACAGAAAAAATACTCAACGTACATAACTGGTTGTGACCAACATAAACAAGACCATCAGAGATGTTTATTGGCCTTTTCTGTATAGTTTTTCTTAATATCGGATTCTCCACAAAATCAACACACGCCGGTACTGTGCCGCAGACGGGGCACCATAGATATGTGCCCGGTGCATGTTGAGGCAATTTAAATGAAAGTTGTGTTTTCCAAATACTCTTGACAAGTTGCAGTAAATTCAACTTTATATACCAAACAAACAAGAGCATTCTGAAGTCTCAGACTTGCAGGTTTTTATGAGAGTCATCTTGTTTGTTATTTTGCACCTTTGTACTGAACTGAGTCGTATAAAAGCGTCTAGTGAACCATCTGCAAACAGCTCCTGGGTTCAAACAACAAAAGGCCAACAGAGGGCTTCTGTCTGCCTGCAGCGACAGACCCGACACCCACCTGGATCCTCCTCTCCTCCTCCTCTCGCCTCTTCCTCTCCTCCTCTTCCTGCTTCCTCTTCACCTCCATCTCCGCTTTCCTGAGAGAGAAACAGTGAAGAGTTCAGATGTAAGAAGAAAGATGGAGAGATGAAGGAAACCGGACAAATGAGGGAGAGAAAGAGACATTGATTAAGAAAAGAGAGGAACAGATGGGAGAGAGAAAAAGGAGAAATAAATGAGGACGAAGAAAGAGAAAAAGTACATAAAGAAAGGAAGAGGATTTAAATAAAGAGATAAATACAGTTAGATAAATAGCACATGGATGCTGACATCAGCCTTCTTCTTCTCTAAGACTCAGCGTTTCTCCATTAGTTTCATCCAGATAAATGTAAAACTCATACATTAAACCTGGTCACCTTAAACCCCCATTCTTGATACTTTTACCCAGATTTGAGAAAGTGGCAATAAGTTCACGATCAAGGGTTGACGTTCTAAGTCTACGTTGCTGTTATGGTAAGCGTACACAAGGTTCTTGGACACGAGGGGTCGCATTGCTTCTGGATGCACCTGAGGCAAGAATCCGACCCCGAAGACAGATTTGTTGCTGAATCAAACAAATAATCTCCTGCGTCTGTTTCAGCTGCTCTTAAACTGTTAAACATTTTCTCAGTCTTTTTTATTTTGGTTGTGCGCCCACAGAAGAGCACTACAGCTCTGACATTTGCACTTCTTACTACTAACTGCTTGTACCCTCTGCTCATCCAGGAATTGAAGGTTATTCTGCTGCTTTATACACAAGTTGCTCTGAACAGAAACATCAGCCAAACGCCTAAAAGAAAAGAAAAACACCACGCTCTTCAGTCACAACGTTTAAAGCATCAGCAGTGGAGTCTGCTGGGAGACATTTCCATCCACTGGCAGGTTTTAATGCATCCTTATGAATAATGTTTGGATTAAGCCTGCACTGGATCTATGATTAAATGGGAAATCCTATAAAACACGGTATTACAGGGTCAGTGACTTTATCAAGGTCTGAGCACAGACTCTCTCCTGCCTTCATGACCTTCAGTATGCGACCTTCAGGTGAATCTTGGGAATTCATAACTTGCCAGAGGAGGAGAGTAAAGGGAGGTGAAAGTGAGCCATAAAATTTGGGCTGTCGTCTCTAATGTCTTATATTAGCGGGTAGTGGTTTGTGACGAACACAATGGCCCCCATCAGTCCTCCTAAAAGACTTTCCATAGCGTTGAAGCAGGGGAAGATTGTGGGGGTCAAACCTGAGTGAGGAATGTGCCTGCCACAATCTGGGTAGGAAATTAATTTTTCCGGGTAACCGTGTGCAGAGTTTGATGGATTCAAAAAGCTTGTCGGCCACTTACATGGTGTCATTTAGGAAACAGAGAGGGACACATCAAGGATAGCTGGTTACCTGAGAAAAGGGCTTGTAGACGGAGACAGAAACACATTTACATTGTTTCTCTCTTTCTGCATAAAGAATTATGAAAGATTGTTTTATTTTTTCAAGAATATCTGATTTATCTATTACAACCATTTTGATGTCAATTTCTAAATTGTTTATGTTAACAAAGAATAAAACCCGTCTGCATTTTGCTTTCTTTTTATCCCTTGTTTGATTTTTGTTTACCACTATTTTATTATAGCTGCGTCCTCTCTAAAAATACCAGTAGAGAGTTTTGGTCTGTTTTTTTGCCATGGAAATACTCGTTTCAATTAGTCGAGCCACCTTTGCGCAGCTTTGTTTACACCAGGGACCAGCTGATTGTGTCTCAACATCACTCTCTCCTTTATTCATTTCTCAAATTAACCTCTAATTGTACGGTAACAGGCCAAGTTAGCAACAAGTGATTAACTCCAAATTTTAAATGTCTTTATCATAAATTCTCACCTAAATCTGTCTGTTTAAAGATAAAACCAGTTCTTCTCAATGAAGCTTTGGGCTGTCTGGTTCACCATCAGACCCTGAACTCTTGCATTAAATTAAAATTCTTTGAAACTGCAGAACTTTCTTCATTTATTCGTGACCTGATATCTTCAAGTCAGACTGTTTCATACAAAGAAACTAACTTTTTCTCTGAGGCTATGACCCTTGACGTCCTTCCTATTGCTCTCCTGTAATGATGGACGCCGGGGGATTGAAGCTTATTCTGCAGCTGCACTCGTTGTAAATCACCCCGAACGAGAGTGTCAGCTAAAAACAGAAAATGTAAGAAGCAACAACCCAGCCTGATAACACTTTATAGCTTCTATAAAAATAAATCCTTTTGGAGCAGCGGCCTCATTATGTAAATCCCTGCTGGCACCTTTAAAAATGAGTGGACACTAAGTGTATTTGTCCACTGCAGCACTTTCCGGGGTCGAAACACACCAACTTTAACAAGTGCCTCTTAATTTTTGGATACAGCAAAACAAAAATGTTCCATCCGAGCCTCAGTTAAGAGGCCGAAATGTAAAAGTACTCCCCCTGAAAGCCCTCCCACTTACAGCCGCCTGTCCTCCTCCTCCTGCTTGCGGCGCTGCTCCTCTTCCTCCCTCCTCTTCTTCTCCCGCTCCATCTCCTCCTCAATGCGCCGCAGACGCTCCCGCTCCTCCTCCTCCTTCTTCTTGTTCTGCATGGCAGTCAGCAACTGCTCCGACCGGGTCACCAGGGCCTGGTACGCGTGGTCGATATCGATCCGGGTCATGATGGTGCTCTGACGGACACGAAAAAATCAAAACCAACTTATAATGATGATGTTTTCTGAACTGCAGGAGTTTATTTGAATAGAAATTCTCAAATATGAATGTCAGTGGCAGGTTTTAATTCTAATGTTCTCCGACTAGTTGTTTACACGTTCCCTTTGTCCGAAACATGTTTAGGATTTTATTTTATTAATTCTAGCACAATTTCGAATAATAATAACAATATAATAACTTTATTTTTATAGCACCTTTTAAAAACAGAATTTACAGTTACAATATGTTCCAGTCTAGTACATACTGCTCTGAACTGAAGCTGTCAGCACCTATAGTCTGCGTCTTTAAGGATGTTCTTACGGAGATGTCAGCGTTGCAGACAGATACTGAAGCATCAGACAATAACATCTATTTAAACAATCCTTTAAGGGCATCGGGAGTCTCACAGTTCACTGTCATCAGAGCACAATCTGACGGTGGTAAACCTGAGACGTCTTTCCGTCCTGTGGCAGATGAATATTCATACGCATCTGCAGTCACCGCAACCTTTCTCCTCCCGACTGCCACAAACAAAGCTGCAGGGTGGAGGTTTGACATGACAGGAGTCCCTCGACCAGCACTTGTCCTTCTAATCCCAACTTTTACTGCGGGAGCACCTGTCAGACTCCTCCATTGAACAGAAAGTGCGAGGGTTGATAAAGAAGAAGCAATGCTAAATTAGGAAAATCTAATATAAAACATTACTGTAGGATATTAAAGATTCATGACATTTATAGGCAGGATTATCTTGAAAGAAGGCGGCCTTTAAGTCACAGTTTAATCCAATTGAACAGCAAAAACCATTATGGTAATGAGAAGTCTCCACAATGCGTCAGTTAGGGTAAATATCTCTGAATGTCAGAAATCTTAAATCCCACAAGAAGATACTGTATGTAAAAAACATCACAACCAGGACTTTATCATTCATTATTTAAAACAATCCTAGGTGTTGAGCGGGGACTTCAGGCTCCACCTGTCTGTCAAACTGCAGCAGAATGTGGTCTAATTTCATGCTGTCCATCATTCGCAGAGAGTAGGTGGCACTTATGTCAAAACGGAGGATATCCTATTTTTAAAACAAAACTCTTCATATGTAAGCGTCTGTCAGAGGAGACAGCACAACAAAAGGCCTTTAACCGACGGCAGTTCGGCTTTTTGATACAAGAACGCAGAGCTTTAATAGCTCACATGTATCCAGATAAGGTAAATGTCAAACTGTCTCACCCACCTTGATTTTGACGATCAGGGAGTCGATGGCGGCATCCAGATCCTTGATCTGCTTGCTCATCTCTTGTTTTCCCTCTTTCAGCCCAGCCACCACCTCGTTGAAGCGGTCCATCCTCGTCTTCAGGTTCCGCACTTTAACCAACCCATCGATGCTAAAACAGGTAAAGACATAACAGTGAAAATAACATGTACTTTGAGGCAGTGCCTGAAATGGGCCAGTACTCACCACGAGTGACCTTACCCACCACTAAGATCACTGGCATTATTTTCAAGGGGTAGACAATAAAAGTTGCAAAATAATCGTCTAAAATGATCTACTTTTGACTCGTTCAGACTCTGGACTTTATAGCCAAGAACTGAAACTTGTGACATGCTAATCAATAACTTTGTCCCTCATCTGCTTTTGCTAAATGTCATTATACTGCTTATTTATTATTTTTACTTATGTTGTCTTTAACTAAATATCAATATTTATAATATAGAATATCTTCGCCCAAACTCCGCCCCGTCATTAATACCCCCCGTCCTCACACACTCCACCTCATTAGCAGCACACACAAACACGATCACACAGCCTGTTAGCACGGACCAGCAGGTTGCCAGATCAGACTAAAACCCCCCGCAGGGGAAGAAAAAAAACCCTTCTTCACATGCATACTCCATCTTTCCTCCCACCTGCCTCCCCCCCTCCGGGCTCTGTTGTTTATCATCAAATATCGGAGGTAGTAAGCAGAGCTGTGTGTGTGTGCGTGTGTGTGTGAGAGAGACGCTGCTGAGCTGTGAAAGTGGCAGATAATGCAGAAGAAGAGGAGTAAAAACATGAGGGAACGAGGGAAGAACCGGAGTAGGCAAGGATGGAAGAGTTAAAGGAAAAGAGAGGGCTGTGAGCCGAGGGAGGTGAAAAATTAGCTTGGGTGGAGACAGAAACAGAGGGGAGAGACGGTGGAAAGTAATAAGGTAGTGAAGGAGGAGTGAAACCCACCGAGGCTTGTGCTTCTTCCTGCAGAGCCACATCCGAACTGTCTTCTGCATCTTGATACAGGCACTGGTCCGGTACAAAATCTTGTTCTTCACTGCAAGAGAAAGGAGAGAGAAAAGAAAAAAAGGTTGTCAATGTCCTGCAAATGAGACCTCTGAGGGTCAGTTCATGCTAGAAAAGAAGGTTGGTGTTGAAATACGGGGATAACATTACACATTCAGGAGGTCATTCACATATAAGGACCATTTCCACCAACAGGGAACCGGCTGTGTTCCGGTTCAAGCACCTCGTTTCAACCAAAAATAAATTAGTTCGGAATCTGAAAAGTTAGTTCCTAGCTGGACCCAAAAAATATCAGGTTTTCTTTGGACTTTCTGGGCCTCTGCCAGACTTCTCCAGTTCCAGGCTTATTAGGGTTTATGGTATTCTCCCCCTCTGCCAACTCACTGCTGATGATGATGAACTAACAGCTCTGCTCCTCTCTTCCCCAGAGTGTCCAAGACATGAAGTCAAAGACCTGTGACACTACTTTGAAGTTGCTCATCAATCTTTGGCCCAAGCCCCTCTGGAAACACATACTTATTGACCATCTCTGTACATGTTGTTGGTTAGGGACAGTCTCTCATTGACAAAGAAGTCCAATAACATCACCGCTTGGATTCAGATCAGGCAGTTGGTCCCTGAATGGCCTTCCTACAGTTTTATTCATCCCTACCTATATTAGCAAGTTCCCAGCAGAACCACGGATTCCCCCTGCAGTACACTTTTCTGAGACTACTTCCAGTGACTTCAAGAAGGTTGGAGCTGCAACGCTAATCAATAATCATTTTAAAGAAAAAATGTCAAAATTCTTTCATGCAAGAAAAACTCCACCCAGTGACACAGAGAGACTCAGGAGTACCTGCACATCCACCTACAACCCTGGGCAACAGTGTGAAGTGGTTTGATTCCAAAGCTGTTGTTGTGCAGTGTATCTGTATTTGTTTTCATTCTAACTTGTGCACTCGCTCCGGTTCCTTCCCCAACAGAAAGGTCACAATGAGAGGTCACAATCCCCAACGCACCCAAGAGCCACACATTAGTCTCTGCAGCACTGGATTTCTACATGTATCTTTTAGGTCACAAGCCGATATGGCAGCAGCTTGTTTTTTTTCCTGGGGCTAGCCTATACCTTGGAACTCATACATAAGTTTCTTTACAATTCATTTCACAAAAGAAACCAAACTTTAAATGATAAATGTTGTCGAAACACAAGCAGCTGCGTAAAAACTTCCAAAAATAATACAAGCAAAATGTACCCAAACCAAAGAGGAAGTCAGCCATTTTGAATTTAATGTCCATTTTTTGGAACTGTTTTTGCTATTTCCAAGTGTTGCATTTTAACAAATTCCTTCTAGAGAATCGATTAGATTGACCTCAAAATTGGTCAGCGCAGCCAAAAGACTATCGCAATTAAAAGTTGCCGATTTCAATGTTTTGCTATATATCAGGAATTTGATGTAACTTCAGTGTACTTTGTCCAATGTCCACCAAACTTTATGTCTGATAAGAGTTCCGCCCTGAACACATCTATGGGCCAAAGTAAGGAAGTAAGCCTCGTATCTGTTTTCCGTGCAACGGTGTGGTGTAATGATGATCCACTGGTGCATGACCGCAGAACACCCCATCACGCAAGGGCCCGTTCATTGCTGCCTGCAGCTTTAATTATCATTGTTTTTTACCAGCTATTGTTTGATAATTGCTGCTAAGAACACCAATTCTTTAGTGAGGCTGAAAGGCCTCGGCCCCATGGGTAACGGCCTGAGCTGCCTCTCCAAGCACGGCTCCAGGAGGGTATAATTATGTCATCATTATAAAACCTGTCCTGTCATCCCTCTGGATGTTCTGCATTCTTGGACACTGATTTAATCTATCGTCAATATAGTCAACTGCTTCCATACCCTAATATGATTTATTGTTATGTGTACAGAATTTCTTGATTTCCTTTACAAAACACACATTATTTGTGATTTGATTCCATCCCTTTCCAAGCCTCTTGGCGACATAGATTTTTCTTTTTATGCAGTGTCAATGAAGCAAGTTCGAAGTGAATTGAAGTGAGAAAATTAAAGAGGGGGAGAGCTGGAGAGATGAAGGGTGAAAGATAAATAGAGACAGAGATCGATAACGTCACTGCTTGCTGCCAAATTCATTCCATCTTGTTATAAACTCAGAATATTTGACTTCTACGCCATTGATTACACAACTTAAGTAATGACTTTGCATTTGCTGAATACATACTGGTTATTCTGAAAATACATTAAAAAGCTTCTGTGTTATAAACCTTGGGGACTGGAAGCAGCCTATTCACTTTTAATGGGATATAATGATGTTTTTTGGCAACACTTGCTTCTGTTCGGCCAATAAAGCTCATTTTCAATCTGATCGATGAAGAGTACAAAGAGTGGGAGACGGAGGCAGAGGCAGAGTGACATGATGGAGGACAGATAACCATGAGAGAAAGTACTAGAGACAAAAAAAAAGAGCGATTAAGACGGATCGAGCCAGACACCAACAGAGAGAGAGGGAGAAGTGTTATGATGGCCGCCTGCAGTGACTGACATGAACATCCTCAGACACTGCAGTGATAAACACAAGAAAGCAGACAGATATCCTCCAGGAGCTCAACCCCACATTATTAACAGCAGGCTGTCTCTGCTGCAGACACGCCGCCCCACGGTTTGTTTTGCTGTTGTACTCCACACCGTCCACAAGGCCCTTGGGTATTTTCTGCGAGCCATCTGCTCATACTGATCCATCTCTTGTTTGCAGGACCAGATTTCTAACGCGAACGCCTCGCTGAAACTGAGAACAAACAGCAGAGACTGTACTGAGTGAAAAAGGACGTTATTCTACCCTCTACGCCACTGATTCCCAAACGGTTTCCTGAAGGGACCTTTTTCTGTCAGTCAGTAAACTCAGTGAAATATTTTATGGATATTTTATATTATATTCAAAACTGCAGGAAGTTAGTTTAAAACAAGTGATTTGGATGAATTTAAAGCAGATTATTTCCTGTTTAGGAACCTTTTTTTTTATTCTTCTTCTTTGGTTGTTTTCTAATGCAGGGCAAGGCTGTTTATCAGAGACTGAAGCTCTGTGGACATAGACTGTGTTCAGATCTTCAAAGTTTACATCTTAACTAATAATCTGAACTTGAAAAATACCATGTTTCATTTAGTTTCCTTCACATAAATGAACCAAATCCTGAGATATAGGCCTATTGTGGTAAGTTCTGTGAGGGAAAATTCCAATAAACATGTTTTTCTCTTAATGAACCTGATTCTGCTGTTGCTCACATGTTTTGCGGCTGACGAACAGAAGGGCCTTATGTACATCATCTATAATAAAGTGTGTTGGATAATTAACTAAAGTTGTTCTGCCTGGAAGGGGTTTCTGGAAGAGAGCCTCTTTTTGGTGCCACCAGATGGCGCTTTTGCTGCCGAATCAGGAAACATGTTAAAATTAAGTTTACGATCTCTGTGCTGCTCGCGACCTGTGACTTGGATCACGGCCGTGAGTTTGGAGGTTTGACTCCACAGGATGCCAGGTGCTGTTTGGGAGGCTTGGACCCTGTTAATACCTCCTCCTGGTCTAGTTTGATTTTCTTCTGGTAAGAAATGGTATTTCTGGTTAGTCCTGCTTCAGCACAGACCCTGAGCACTGTATCTCCACCTCCCTGTCAATAAAACATTCTGTAAGCTGATTTATTTATAACAACAGGGACTCCCAAACTGCTTCCAAACAGCTTAAACTGAATAAAACTTTATTCCAGACATGGCCAGTAGCTACTTTACTCTGTCCATGTAAATGTTGGCATCAGCATCTTCAATTAGAGAATCACACACCCTCCACAAAATGGTGTCTAAAATTAAATAAATTCAGATACAATACAACTTCTTTGAGGATGGAAGGTTCAGATTTCTCTCAACATCTGTCCCCTTTATAACCTTGAGAACCGACCTAGATGAACTTAAGTCAATGATTTTTCAGGATTTGTGTCAATGTGCGGAGGAGGACTTACATTTGATGACGGACAGAGCGCACCACTGGACCTTCTTCCAGCGGCTGTGGATGAGCCACTTGTTCACCTTCTTCACCAGCTCAGCCAGGTGATCCGGGTCCGACTTCATAATCTGGTCGAACTCTGCAAACTGAAAGGAGGGTGACAGTCGGTCAGAGCTGAGATTTCGCACTGTCAGCAGTAAACAAAGAAAGGTTGCTTGGAACCAGCGATCATCATTATAGAAGATGGACGTCTCCACTTTCTCCCACTGCACAACAGTCAAGCCATGACATCATCATACGCACGCCCGACTCAATGGCGAGCAGGACTGACGTCAATTGTAACGTGAAACTCCCTTTTTATATCTTCAAATAACTGATTAAAACCAAACTGATGATCCTTCTAGAGCCTGAGAAACACTAAATGAGATAAATAAAACACTAGGATCTGTACGTCTACTTGAGTAAAGAATGTGTGGACGCACAAGGTGGATTCTTGCGTGATTTAGTGAAAATCCATCTGGCCAGGCTTTAATCTATGTATCTGTGACATCGGTATCAGACCAACCAGAGTCATTTGAAGTACTGGCAGCTACAGTGAGAAGAAACTGTTCGTTACACAACAATGGCGGCTGCTATAGAGGTTAGCGTATAGCATCAGTTCTATCAGGCACTGAAGGCTTTTCTCAAGAGGTTTTCTCTTTTCTCCTGAAGAGATTGACGACGTTACCTGGTTCATTGATCTGACTGGTTGAAGTTGGATAGACTATCACCATCTATCAAACATCAGGTTCATCCAATCACCTTTCAGAGTATTATGAGCCTTCCCTTTTCCAAACCACATACAACATGCAAAAATCACATAAATCCTACAGCATATCGCCATAAAGCAGTGCTGCTCATCCGGATCCTGTTTATCAGGAGGAAAGAAACATCTCTACTAACAATAAAGCTAGTTTTCTTGACATGTATCATCATATTTGTCAAACCCTGTTCCTCTGAGGTCCAGATATTGTATAGAATTTATATTTTTCAGGTACTACTGTCACAGTAACACGAATATATATCTGTAGTCTGTGAAAATGCATTTGATATTTCACTGAAGCACAGCCAGAAGCAGAAACGTGTTTATTCATTTGAGCAGCAGTGAATTTAGTTTTCTCCTCTTCGTGCATGCATCTTTTATAACCAAGTCAAAGATCGTAGCAGTGCTGCTGAATGCTTTCTAACGCTTACTACACTTGATTTGAGAGACTGCTGAGAGCTACTCTGTGATAGTGCGGCTGATTTGTTGTGTTGTGATCGCGTCCTCTGTAAACCTCTGACTTCCAAACCTCGAGCTGCTGCTGCTGCCTTAACAATGAAAGAATCTGCAGAAGTCACATTGTCTTCTTATTGTCAGTTTTCCGAGTTTGATTTCTGACAACATGCAGCGCCATCGGCCCGCTGACCCTCAAGTGTTCGAAGCTTCAAGCTGACAGCTAGGGAGCCTCTGATTCATCATATCTGGATAAATCCACCTGACACAAAGCCTAAAACATACTTTTGTCATGTAACGTTTGCTAAACCCCAACCATGTGTGGAAAACACAAAACAGTTTATTACAAGTACCATGTTATGTTATGTCTATCTTGGAGTGTATCATTGCCTCCAGAGCAAACATCACAACCCTGACGCTTCCACAGGGACGTGAAGAGTAATGAAAGCATCCGAGTTCAGCCAACAGAGGACACGAGTATTTATTTATTCCTCGGAGCTAAAATCTACAGTGTCAGGCTTTGTCAGTTTGTCCTGCACAGTGTGTACTGAGGTCCTCTGCTACAAACGTATGCACTTTCACAAAGCCCCCCTGGAAACCACATGTCTAACCCAAATGCTATGAATTATTCATCCGGTGGAGAAATAAAAATCCCATCTGTTGGCTCTGGTTCATTCGAAAAACCTCATCTCACCTCACCTCAGCAGCCAAAATGACTAATGTGCTTTCCCTCTGAATCTATTGTCTTTCTTTAGGGGAACAATACCTATATTAGCTACTGCAAAGGGGGAATAGAGTCGGTTTTCAAAAAAGTCTCACCTTCCCGGGCCGGAAAAACACTCTGGTCAGGCCGAACTTGTAGTCATTCTCATTCAGTCCCAGAGCTTTGAATAAAGCCTGCAACACAAACATGAAGTGCATTGATAAAAATGGAAATGTGGCTGTATTAGAATGATAATAAAAGATTGGATTGGGGCCGGCGCTGAGGCTCAGAGGACCTACCTTGCAGAAGAGACGTGGGTCGAGGCGGGTGAGCTTTGGAGGCATGTACTTCTGGTACATGTTGTAGAGTTCGTGGAAGGGAGCCCTGGAGGGGAAGCCGCCCTGCATCAGGTCAAGCACTGACACCATACCTACACAGAAAGAGACAATGGTTCAAGTTCCTTCAGCTGTCAGAAAATAAGCTCAGTTTAAACAAGGTTTAACCATCCTGTACAACTAGAGCTGGGTTTCGAACTTTCACCGTAACGGTCCATGTATTTGTGCCAAACCATCACGGTGTGGGGGTCACAGTTGGGTGGCACGTAGCCATACGTAGACTATACGTCCAAAATGTGAGTTTCATCTGGAAAACCTTTAGCCGTACAATTTTAGCAACATGTAGGACAAAAAGCTGATCGCACGCATCATACAATGGCGACCTGAGGTCCTTGTTTGGGAACAATTCAGGTTGGTATTGGATGAAATAAAATTTTGGCCCGATAGTGGCGCCAGATGATTCGTCCTGAAGCGGAGATAAATGTGGATCAGATTTCATGTCAACCTCATGGTGGCGCTAGTGAAAGAGTCAGAAGATCACCAAACTCATTGGGATTCATCCTCTGGGGACAATGAACATCTGTGTGACGTTTAGGGGAAATCGATCCATCCACATGGTGAACTGACTGACATTAGCACCCTTTAGCCGCACCGCTAGTGCGGCTTAATTTTTCTAACTAACATATAACTCAGGTATCAGCACCAGTATTGTTAAGCTTCAAACAATCCTCCATTTACACCACAAACATCATTATAAGTGAGCTTGCAGTGGTCCTACAAATCCAATAATGCAGTTTTACATTTGAAAGCTAAGTTATCACTGCGCTGAACGCCAATTAGCAACATTTCTCAGCCCTGGTTGACATTGTTCCCTTTTTGTCGGCGCCATCTGTCTGTGTTTATGTTGTCACGACTTTCCAGACTGTTCCCCTTGACATATTAATTTCATTCCCTCATATGGACCCCCTGTAAACACGGCTGATTTGGC